AGACGCAGTGTGGAGAGTTTCGCGACCCAAATTTGGGTCGCGACCCCGTATTTGCGGACCCCTGCTGTAGTGAATGAAAAACATACAACATTTTTCTACTAGGCTGTTTGAGATAATAATCACCAGGGTTACAATAACTTGTTATTTGGGCCAGATTAGACAGGATTTATCTAGATATTTCCAAGAATTGATAAATATATACGTATAATGCGTAGCAACAGATATAAATTTATTTATGATTAAAGCATGGTAAGTCTGTGTGGTATTTATTAGTGGTATGGAAGGTACATACAATAGCGCGTAACGTACTCATGAATACCTTGCTTGATCACCCACCATATTGCTATACGATTTTTATCGTAATTAATCTCAAGTATGGGCCTCATTATCAAGGTCGTCAAATGAAGTATGTCCCACATTATTAAAGTCGTCAAATGAACTAATATATATGCTTTATTATTAAGGTCTCCAAATGAAGTGCACCAGATAGGGATGGCGGGTGATCAAACAAGACGTCCCAGCGTGCGTTACGACTCAGCAATAATGCCAATGACGTACACGAGTTTTCGGTATCTGAATGTGAATTTTTGAAAAGGTTTTTTTATTATTAAAAAAAGCAACCTGTTTTAAAACAACATAGTTTTTGCTTCGACTTCCACTCGTATCACATCGCTTTTTCGCTAATTTAGTACCTATACCAAAGTCACTAGGTTTCAACAGCAATGCTTATTCGAGATATCAGTCAGAAGCTTTGAATAAACAAGGTAAAACAAATCACGGAACGCAATTCAAAAGTAGGTGGATCAGGGCCTTCTTGAAATCCAAATCATGTAAAACGAGTATGTTAATACAACAACTGAGAATATACTTGGCTCGGCGGCAGCCTACCCTATGCACTTAGAATCCCATAATATTCATTGTGATAATGATGTTTAATTAACACGGGCAAAAGTGCCACATGCTTTAGCGATAGTGTTTTGTAGATTGCGACCTTTATTTGAGACTTGGGACAAAATTTGATGATAACCGAACTTGATATAAATAACAATAGTAATATAGAGATAACGTAGTGAAGAGTGCATACTTCTTGCACTACATGGCCCAAGTTCAAGATTCAAGATTGGTATTTAACACATTTTGGGCTTTAGGTCGTAGATGTAAAATTTTATATATAGAGGAAGTTCCGCCTGTTCGATTCCTCACTGATGCGCCGTAGTTGAAGCGCCTAAATGTAAAAATGAATGTCGACTAATTGTAATTAAAGGGATTGTATTTGTTTTTGATATATTCGGCAATGACGCATTATCTACAACGAAGCGTTGTATGCCACTGATATGTAAATCAGCTAATCTCTATATAGACTGGGTGTGACACAGCATGTGGGTAGCTTCCGTCTGTCTAGTTCAGCGTTTCCCAACCTTTTTTGGTCGCGGACTATTTTCTCACCGGCGAAAGCCCTTGCGGACTCAACGTGCGTTTATTGCAAATGCACTCTGCTTGAGTGAGTAATAAAACCAAACAGAACAGAATTTTAACGAATTTCAAAATCGGAAATTCGCCGCAATTGCGCGTTTGTTGATAGAGCCAACTTTTTTAGTGTATGAATGGCCTTTTCTGTCGCGTAATATTCAACCCATGACAACGACGAGAATATAAAAAGGTTCCTATTTTAATTTAGTTTTGTTCATGGTCACTCGCGGTTGCGTCGACTTATGACAAGATGAAAGCACTACTTCTCTAATTCCACGGCAATCTGCGAACATAATAATGTGAGAATATATTGCCCGATTATATTTAGTTTTGATACATATTATTTGCGATCTTGCAAATTTGTTAGAAAAATTCTACTATCTGCTATAAATTTCCAGAAAGTACAACTTGATTTAGTATTTATTAAAAATATAATTTAAGTATATTAGTAAATAAAAAATCGCCTTTCTTTAATATTAATTTAATTGTGATCATTTTAATCTGCGGTTGTGTTGACGAAATAGAAGCAATACTACTCAGAAAATATCATGACAATCCGTGGACACAAAAATGCGTGGTAAAGGACCCGATCATATGTTGTTTTGATTCGTATTTTTGTGAATTCGACAAATCTGAGCTGTTTGTATAACACTTACGGCGCTCCAGTACTGTGCGTACCAATGTGGAGGTAGTAAAGCAAAGAATCCTAAGGGAAAATGCCCTGATACGGATACTACAGTAGCACCCGGAATTTTGCGATTTGCAATGTCTAAATGAGCGTTTTTAATCGGTCGAGGACCATCATAGAACTTAACTTATGGTGTTTTCCGTTTTATTTTTAGTATTTTGTATTGCCGCTTTTCAATTTAGAAAATTTAGGTTGCCACCATTGACACCTACCATAAAAGAAAATTATTCCTCGTTGTTCGAGCTCGCGAGAAACGACACTTAGATATTTATCCACTCGTTTGCCGACTCGTGTTTTCGTCGGAAATCCGCAAGTGAGTTGTGAACTCCAATCGTTTGATTAAGCGACGCGCAAGTGCCCTGTCGCGTCACCTGTTACCAAATTTTCGAATAGTAAATTGCTATTCTAATAGTTGAATATTCGAATATATGCCCAGCCCTACTCAGTATACCCAATAATTATTGACTCGATTAATGGTATATGAATAAATTTTGCTTTTTATATTTTATATAAATTGTAACCTAAATCGTAACTTTGCTAATGGTCAAGTTTCGCAAAAACGTTTGCGGCCCGCAGTGAATTTCTGACTCGTTGCGGACTCATTCAAACGCTCCGCGGATTCATTTGAGACCGCGGACTCGGGTTGGGAAACACTGGTCTAGTTGCTACAAATTATGCGGTTTACGTTGCTTTTACAAATTGACCATGTTTGATAAGTTGATTTCCCAATCTCTCATTCTTGTAATATCGGAAAGTTTATAACAACCATTAATTATTATTGTTCTTGCAGTCCAACCCTCTAGAGCAGGGCTACTCAACTATTTTTACCGAAAGTCCGCATACAAAACTTCAAGAATATTTGGGTCCGGACTTTCCAGACATTATATTTCGGCATCCTCAAACACGCAATTCCTCGGCCGACTAATGATTACTAGCTAATCAAGATTGTTTGTTATGGAGTTATAGTTCTTTTCATTATATTTTTAAAACAATGAAAGTGGTTTTATAAAAGGAAACTTCAAAAGTGGGGCTAATGATCCAAAATAAAGAATTATTCGAATACCCGAAAGATCCGGATTCGGACCGCGGTCAGCCAGTTGAGTAGCCCTGCTCTGGAGTTACCGATCATCTGGTAGTTTTGAATGACTGAACGCCTCAGAAGTCAGAATATAATTTATCTACTCTCTTCATAAAATATATTTTTGTTTGAATTGCTACTTTTCCAAGCATTTCACCTCCAAACCTTGTAGTGACTTCGGGGAAATTCATTTGGACAATTTTCAATTTTTTTTTTGCTTAGACAATAATGACATAGCAGAGCAACAAAGAACAATAATCTACAAGAAGTCGCAACCAGATGAACTCTAGCAAATTGACACAAGAATCGCCTTGCCACGTGACATATTACGATCTTCAGATTGCATACTGATGGTGCCACGTAGGTCACGTCAGGTGACGCTACCTCACTTCCACCACAAGAACCTCACCCAGAGTGATTTATCTTCGTCATAGTTTTCCTTCCTAATCAGATAAAGTGAACATCAAGTGGCCATTTAGTGATAGCAGCGTTATGTGTTGTTGGTTCTTCTTTATATACAAACACACCAGGGAACATGTAATTAGTTATATTTGCCAACTTGTCTATCGCAGACGGTGTTATTCCTGTCGGCGACGAAAATGATACCCATAAAACAATAAAGTATGTAAAGAGTTACAAAATATGAAAGAAACGGCACTTTATCTTTCTTCCGAGTGACGCACCAGTGCATATATTTCCCAAAAATAGTTTCCTAAAGTATAAAAACTATTTGGTCCATTTTATGAACTTAACTTTTATGAACACACCGAAAGTTTTGACTAATGTTCAAAATGTTTTCAGTCACTGTTATGCATGGTCATGAAAGTTTCGAATTCTTTGGTTTTTGGGAACTTCTTTAACAATTTATTGACTTATATGAACCTTTTTACCTTTATGCGTCAATGGCAGCATCTACAACAGGTAGATTCTTAATAGGGTTTTTGCCACTTCACAAATATGATCGATCGTTGTTTACATAGTTCTACCTTGTTGATTGGAATGAGCTGTACATGTAAGAAAACATGTAAGAAAATGTTATTGAAGTTTAGCTAATTTACTACCTGCTTTTTTATGCCATCCCTACTTTACTTCGGGAGTCTGTATTTTTGTTCCATATATCATTTCTCATTTCATTCCCAATCCGCTTTAGGCGAATCACTCAGAATTTTAATTCTTACTCTCCCCTGACGAATTATGTGAGCTAGTTTTTAATGCTCTTTTGGTAATATTGTGAAGGATAACAATTTATTGTGGTTGGTAATATGTTCTATGGCGCTCAGAACATCAGTGATCTTTACGCCATCTGCCCGTATAAAAACAAATTTCCTTGAAGTTTCAATCATGTCCGTGGTCATAATGTCCGAGTCTCTTCTGGACATCAACGCAATCTATAAGGTAATGAGAGCTATAGATGTGTCGAATTTAGCGATATCGACGTGTTAGAATTTTACAATGCTCCATTTACATCTATAGATTCTACCGGTCGGCTTTTCCCTGGGCGATATACGATCTTAAATCGTATCTTTGCATTCTCAAAACCCATCGTCCAATTATTCCGGATGGTTTATCTCCGTTTTTAGGATTAGATTTTACACCATATAAAAGTTATCATCAGCAACGACTCGTCTGCTTTTATGAATTTAGGTTGTGTCTGAAAATACTAGTATAAAACACGCACCAACCTTAGCGGCGGGCACAGTCAACCGCATTACCTGAATGCACCAACTCCTAAATTAGATACATGTAGGTGCTATTTGCTGCGTATATTTTTCACTTCCACATAATTAAAAAAAAATTGATGCAAAAATCTACTCATCTCTACAGTTTGGAAGTTTTTACACGAAGCGTTCGAATTCAGTTGTTAAATCTACGGTGATATTATCCTCGAAGTAAGGGCAATTGAATGCAGTGTGCAAAAAATAGGTCATGACGCTTCATTTTTGTACACCCCTACAGAATAGTCGTAAAAATAGACTCATCTCTTCATACGGCACGAAAACATGAATAGGATACATGGAGTCATCTTGCATCCTGGATTATTCAAATTATATATGTCACATGCAGCTCACGCTCTAGAAGTTCTCTGCACAACATTTGTTAACAACTTATTTATTGTTAAGTGCATAAAGCATCGACAGTATTCTAATAGAAGTTGATAAAAAAAATATAAACAAAAAAAATTCAAACATTTTTGAAATAAAATAATTCAGTTCAAACAACAGTGGCAATTGCACAAAATAATTTTTTTTTTATTATCAAATTTTCACGTCAGATTTATTCAATTATGTAGGAAACTTGAATTTTTTATTAAATTTATTTCGATTTACATATTTCTAGGTCGGTTGACAAAACAGATTTTTTTTAGATTAAAATCAAATTTGCATGAAAATGTCATTAACTATGATATAAAGTTTCAGAATGACGAGGATTCAAAATGAAGTTTGCATTTTTGTATGTTCCATATTGGCATACAGCAGCAGTGCAACGATTGCAAATTGTGCACTGCATCGTTGACGCACGACTCCGTGTTGAAGCACTAGTAAACCACATTTTCGTACATGTGAATCCATTTCAATCTACCGCATACATTCTTCTGATTCAGTTCCATACCACCACTGGTTAAGATCTGCTATTACTTTCGGTTTCGTTATGTGTTCCTTGTTACGCAATTTCCTGCATAGATGATAAAGACCAAATCGTTCGAATTCCATCATATCCTTCTGCATTACATCGTCCGTTTTCCAAATATGAAACCAATTTGAATAATTGCTGTAATCATGTTGTGGTCCAAAATTGAAACCATATCTAGGTATGACGTGAGTTCCTGGTTCTTTCCACCAATCAAAATATTCTAGATACGCCGTGTCATTAGAATCTAGATATTTCAAATATTCGGCCAATTTATTTAGATTTTCAAAATCTTCCAAATGGATAAAAGATCGTTTTGGCAATATTTTTATTGCATCTTCCTTTGTAGGGCCATGAATTACAGGGATAATTCCGCCAACCAAAGCGTTGTAAAACGTTTTTTCGGTTATATAGTCTCTGCAATGAAGTGAATTTTCAAACGACAAGTAAAACTTGAATGGCGCAATAGTTTCTAAAAATACGTTGAAATCATTTGGAATTGGGCGGTTGGCGCATTTCCCAAATCGCTCAACTTCCAGTAGACCTGTGAAACATATATAATATACAATTAGTTTCTACATAGTATACCAGTTTGAAATTTTGGTGACAGCACATTTTCACCCGTAAACTGCACCCAGAACATTTGCACCTCTATACTTTTGCATTCATGGACATTTGTACCCATGGCATTTTTGCGCATATGAATTTGCCCGATAAACAGTTTCACCCGTGGATATTTGCACCTGGATACATTTGCACCCGCAGTCTTTTTTCGGTTTTTTTCTTTCAATAAAATAACGCAAACGTAGTCGAATTTACGGTGGATAGTACAAGAGGCACGTGCATCGAGAAAGAGTAAGAGTTTATAATGGATCCAAATCAATCGCGTTCGGGTTTGCAGTGAGTTCGTTTTCATTACTATTCATAACATTATAAAGTGCGTATATTTATTGCAAATGGCAATACAACTTCTTTTACTGAAGACCATGGATGTAAATGTTTAAGGGTGCAAAATTCCATGGGTGCAAATGTCCATAGATGCTAATATCCGTGGGTGCAAATGTTCATGTGTGCAAATGTCTTTGGGTATTAACGTATGCAGATGCAATTGTCCTGGGTGCAAATTACGGGTGCGAATGTACGTGGGGGGTTCAAAGATAATGGAACCTAAAACCAAACTTACATTTGACTGACAAATCCCTTATTGACAATTTCACATCTTATAAAAATATCAGTATAGAAATTCAAAACATCTTATTCTATCTAATAACCATTTAAGAATTAGTAATCTCGCATAGGTGTATACGGTTTGCATGATTATCCAATAAAGATCAAAAAGAGCTTGGAATGATTGATATTTGTCATAATTTTTCCGTATTAGAAGACATTACGTTGGCATGTTTATCCAACCCTGCTACCTAGGGACAATGTATATTGACCGAGGAGCTTTATGAATACAAATACACATGGAAACACAACAAAAACGTTGATATTGATATTATCATTTTGATATTTCATTCTGTTTTTCTACTAAAGTTATCTATTTATTTATATCCGCATTTTATTATTCGTGATACCTTATTGCCATTTGCATATTACTCGGTTTACTTTTTTGATTTTTTAAATATATGGCTATGTTTTCACCAATAAATCACGAAAATGTGTGTAATGTGTAGAAATTATATATAACTAAAAGCCATTTAGTGTTTCCAGAACGCAGGTGGGTATACAATACTTGTATTTGCATCAAACCATTTTTATGTTTAATGACACCATATGCCACCTTCCGTTATAGCTGATGAAGTTGTTAACGGATTTAATTTGATATCTTACAGGTTAGAATGAAGAATTGAAATATTGGTTGATGCTGATGCCCTCCAACAGGTAATACCAACCTATCTAACATTATGAATATTCAGAGCCTTTTGAATTACAAATATTCAAAATTCAACAAAAATGTTTGAATATCAACGTATGTTAAATGAAACCTCAAAAATTTCAGTGATAACCGCTTTGTTCCATAGAATTTCCTCTCTTTGCCACTCCTTATGCCAACATCGGACACACTTAGTGATTTTCTAGTTTAGGAAAGTCAACAATACATGCGAAAATTGGTTTCAACATTTTTCTTTTGGTATGTCCAGCTCACTAGCGACATGAAACTTATACACCATTAAATGTATACTTAACAGACCTTTTTTAATTGCCGAATACTTCAAATTAGCTAAAGTTTAATAAAATCATATCTTGCCACAATAAAGATGAAAGTATGATATTGTATATGTGTCGACCTTTATAACCGAGATCAATCAACATACCGTCTTTAGTCATGTCGTCAACTAATTTCATTCTTTTTGAGGCTCCAGCAACAACGCTACAATCGCTTACAACCCACGCAATAAGTTTCGATTTCTTTGCCATCAATAACCCGATCTCTTTACGAAATCTATCTTCCGACATCGTTGGATATTTGACGAGTTCGGCATCCTTCATTTCATTTTGTCTATTAAAAACAGAAATATATTTTATTTCCACTGGATTTGTTTGTGCCACCTACAATTTTTCTGAGCCAATATTGGGTTAAAAAAATTGATGTAGTATCTCCATAAGAGTATTGTTCATTGCGATATTCTATGTTTCGTGACAGTTTTTTAAATGTGAAGTGTATACCTATTTGTATCTTACGAAGTATGAATGACATATCACGGGGATTTAGTGAATACAGAGGGACCCACAAAAACGGAATGCATAAATTTCTCAATTACTTCTATGAAATGTTTCAATTTTTTTTCTACACTCGAACTTCTGTTTGTGTATGATTGTACCTAAAAGTTTCAGAAATCTAAGTCGTTTTGCACAAAATTTATGTTTTCTCCAGAATATATCCCAAATCAAAATCAACAATCATTTGCACACACTACTCTATGTGGTTTCAGCCTTTCCCTAATCAGACAGAAGCATTGATTTATCTGTGCCCATCTTGCGTGGTTGGACAATAAAGTAACCATTATTGTTGCTATTGTTATGTTCTGACAGCAGTAAGTGCGATCCCGCAAAAAAACAATAGAGTGATTGACAATTTTGCGCAATGTATGCAAGTCTGTCTCAAATTCCAAGGAGGTAATTTGGAAAATATTCAAGAACATAAATTTTATATAAAGCGTCCTAGATTTATGAAACTTCTGGGTATAATCACAAACAGAAAAGCGTAAACATATTCAAATATTTTTTTTTTCATTTTCGCGGATGTAAATAAAAAATTTATGGGTTGCATTTTGTCGGTCACTCTGTCCTTATCGTACATCACATAACGCTTTCGGTCTTCATTAGTTAAAATATTTATTTAATATCTATAGTTATACTATAAACTGGTTCCATTACATTTGAACCCACGTACATTTGAACCCATGACAATTGCACCTGTATGGTATTGCACCGATGGAATTTTTTTTGTTTCACGGATAGTTAAACCCATACTAACCCTAACCCATGGGTTTTAGCACCCGCATATAGATTGAACCCGTGGATATACACATGGGTTCAAATGTACGTGGGTTCAAATGTACGGTCACCCTATAAACTTGTTAGTGCTATTTAGCTGTACCTGTCAAACTTATACAACAAGTAGTCTAAACTTGGAGTAGGTGCAAACGAGGCAAGAACATCTGAATCACGTCGGTATGTCATTGTCCAATTAAAATAGTTGTTGAAATCTTTCAGTTCGTGGTGATAATAATGTAGAACAGTCCACGGTGATTCATGAGCCCACCATGCAAAAACTTGATGAGATGATCTGAATTGTAATGATGATTTAACAAATGAGAACTCCCAGATTTGTGAATATGAAATGGGTGCGGAATAAGTACATAAATTTAGAGTAAAATACCTTTTGCTGGGATCTGGTAAGTCCTTGGCGACGCACGACTTCATATAAAACAACACCGCGTCACTACTCTCGTATTCATTGCGGTCAAGCGTGACATCGCAACCTCCTTCTTGTTCAGGTAAATCGGTCAAGCGCCACTCGATCTTATGATACGGTTTTGCCCATATAAGAATTTTGGGCCTCTGTTTCAATAACGCTCTGTCGTGTAAAAGATTTGTGGTCCCGTTTTGAGCCGAAGTCGACATCCACGTCCCAATGGATTGTGTATATCCAATCGATGCTTAAAACAGAACAGATAAATAGAAGAAAACAATAGCACAATCGGATCTTAAACACAACACTTCAATTCTTGATTATTATAAAGGTTGCTATGATATATTGCATCTGGCCAGAAGTTTTACTAGTACTTGACGAGACTAACGTTTTCGAAACTCAAGTCCCATATTGCATGGTTTAAAAGTCTTGCATTACACTTTGTGAAAAACTTCATTCCGTATTGTTTCGTTAGGCCGCAGTCAGAACTCCTCAGACAAGCAGTTTACAACAGCGTTTCCCAAACTTTTACGGCCACGGAACACTAAGACTTTTTATCTCGCCTCACGGAAAACCAAAAAATGGAAAGCTAAAATTGATAAAGAAAAACGGTGTAATGTAGCGGTTCCCAATGGGTTTGCCGTGACGAGTTGCCAAATGCGCCGCGAAAACTAACAGAATTGTGTTAAACCGTAAATATATACTACTACGGTTAAACATACCTGGAATATGATTGAATATTTTACATATTGCATTTATTATAAATTTTTTATTGTTTCCTAATTTAAATGCTGTGGATATGAATCAATAAATTCACCAATTCACAATTTTTCACCTGTCTATGTCGTTTACTTTCCATCACGTAGTGTTTGCCTCCAATGTTACCTCTAATGGAGATAAAAGTACTTGCTGCAATTTCGCGAGCTGCAGTTTATTTATCTGCTGAATTGAATTTAGCGAACATGAGTAATTTTTCAGCATTTCATAGTAAAACCAGGCAGAAACGGAGGAAGAAGAGTTGACCCTTTGCCTTTATTCTTTAGACCTACTTGTTTGCTTATAACAAAACCAAAAGGATTGCTGTAAACTTGGGGTTACCATATTTTTGTGACTTCAAAGCGGGACGCCTCCAAAGGTCATAGCTGTGTTTTTTTCAACTTCAAATTTATCGATTTTACATTAGGCACACATTTAAAACCATCCCGGCTGTCTTCATTGACTATATTGTCATCGAGAGTGCATGCGGTGTCTGTCTAAAAATCGGTTTCAATTCAATAAATAGAAAGGACTTTACGTTAAGCACCCTTTTGGCGTCTGGGGCTCACACGTAACAAATTGTAGCAATTAACCGCTAATAATGTTAGCGAAAAACAACGAAACAAACAAAACCACGCTTCCACCTTCAGTGGGTATGCCACCACCGGTACGCCACACAGCAACAACAGTATCGAGAACATGCTAATTGGTAATGTTCATGTATCATGCTGACTGGGTGAACGCCAAAGCGGGACTTTTGGCTGACCGGTCGGGACGCCGGGACAAAACGTTAAAAAGTGGGACTGTCCCGCCTAAAACGGGACGTATGGTAAGTCTATGTAAACTTAACAGTCAAAAAGCTACACCGACGGTCACGAAAATGCCATTACTCTACCTCAGTTAGTCCGCTTTAGGCCGACGATAACGCGATATTGAACGGTCAGTTTGGCGACAACTTCACCATCCCTAGATCGCAATGGCGATATTTTTGATTCCTTCTCCACGGAACACTCGAAAGACGCTCGCGGAACACAGTTTGGGAAACGCTGGTTTACAACATTGATAGAAAAGGAAATTCAATTTTACAGTGTCTCATCATTGTCTTACTTTGATCAGATGAAACGTTACAGAATAAATTTTCAAAGTGTAATGCAATACTTTTAAACCTCTCAATATTTGGCTCGAGTTTTGAAAACGTTAACCTTTTTGCTGAGGAACTAATACCAGTATTAAAGATCCTTACTACTTAGCTTGGTCCCCTATATACCATGTCCATTTTATACAGTTCATTAAATATGATTGAAAGCATATTTTAAGAAGAAACGATAGATTTCTTTAGTAGAGAAAGAAGCCGAGATACATTCGCCTCACCAAGGTAAAACCATTATACTGAAGTAGTCACAGCGACGACGATAAAACTCTAATGCAATTTACAGTGTTTATTTACAATGTTCGCTGAGAAAAGGTGATAATTCAATTCAGTAAAATCGAACTCCGTTAACAAGGCCTAATATAACAAATAAATCAACGAAAATGTATAAACTATATAATAAAAGTAAAAATAACATCTTTTTCAACGAAATAGAAAGATTATTTGTGGCAAGTACCACATGCGGATCCGAAGTAGAAAATGTACAAGGAGAAAGAACCTGCGGTTCAATACCCAATATCCAAGTTTTCTCCCAGTATATAATAAAACTTACCATTTGTGCCAATATTTTTGTAACTACGGCTGTTATCAAATCTATATAGAAGTTGGTAGAAAATTATAAATCCGACGCAGAAGAGAGCACACACATATAAAATATTTTTTTGATTCATCATTATTTGCCTGAAATCAATTTATCTATTTTCTAAAAAAATGTCAAAATAAAACATTAACTGTTCCTACACAGCTAACTGGTTGATAATTCCGTACCATAAACCCAATACGATTGCCCTCCACAACGCCAAACACGATTCTGTTAAATAAACATTTCAATGAAAGGGACCTAAATCGCGCGATTGACAAAAAGTCAACAAAAATTGATCGAGTTTATTTTTTTTACAATTCTAATCATAATTTTGCAATTTTATCCATATGACTTAGTTGTAACTGATTCTTAGTTTAAAATTATTGGTAATAATAGGCGCCTCTATATCTGAAATGCTGTCTGTCATAAACATGTTTAATGCAACTTTTAACAACCTTCAAGTCAACAAACGATGCTACCATTTGCTGTTATCAGGTCTGCAGTCTGAAACCGCTCAATTATATATATTTACATAATGCTGAATTAAATCGGGAACTTGATCATTTTCAGGAGATTATATATATAACAGATATAACTGGTTATGAATACTTTCTGATATACAAAACTGAGAGTATCTTATACAAAAATGCAAATTAAGCAAACATAAAACAGATATATATACCCTAACTAGAAATCAATCCCTGATAAAGCGTCAAACACTAAGTCGTGACTATGTCCAGCAAAGGCGACTGAATGACAACACCGAATAGATAGATAGCCTCGAAGCGCAGTCAAGTGGCTTTTGAGAACGTGTGGTTCAGCTTCATTTAGTTCATAACAGCAATGAATAAAGATAACCTTAGATGTGAACAGCACTGATAAAAGTCGGAACAGACGAAGATACATTTATGAAAATGAAGGTAATTAAGGATACGGTTCACATATCCATTTATTCTGCCCAAAGATTTTGGGTAACAAGGTGATATTATATAGTTGATTATAGATGTTACATAAATCACTCGCCAACGTATTTTTATGTTTATGCACATTTGAAGTATTCTGTTGAAGCTGCTCATATTAAATAGAATATTTATATACACAAAACTATATATCTTTCTATCAGCTTTCAGTCTTTCACACTTCATATTGTTTTCAGCAAAAATGAGAAAATTTGCTAGTTTGTTTTTTGTTGAATATTTACCTAATATTATTAGGCCAGATTTGTTCAACAGCTTTTCGTGTTGATCCGTTCTCTTTAAGAAGCGATTAACCTGGTAAATATTAATTAGGTACGACCAATTGATGTAGATAACATTAATCTTTTGTTGTAAAAATTGGACTCTGCTGATAGAAAATGCTTTTCTTTTATTTGAGTTATAATGGAGTGAAAACCCAAACCTAGCTCACTAATTTTCTTTAATTCTAAATTATCTACTTTCTATTGAACCTTATGTGAGCTGCTTTAGGATCTGGTATGCCTAAAGAAGGTGAATCGATTTTGTGCACTTTATTGAGGTATTTAATAATTATATCTCAATACCTCAATAAAGTGCACAAAATTGATTCACTCTTTTAGGCATACCAGATCCTAAAGAAGCTCACATAAGGTTCAATATAAAGTAGACCAGTTAGACTTGAGGAAAATGAGACTCTACTGTGCTAATCAGCCTATTGTTATTTTTAAATTGCTTCCCGGGAACTACCGTGGTATTTTCTGCATCTTTTCTCGAGTTTGGTTTTGTAATGTTGCTTTAAATTGGATTCTTTCGTGACAGATATTACTTGAAAGCACGCCAGAGTAACGTTGTTGTGGGCGAGAAAATTGTCAGCTAGCTCTGTGTTTTGTTATTGCTGTCACATGGCCCACGCATGAAAACAGAAGAGTGTTTTTACTAAAATGCACACAACGTCTCTCTAAATAGGGGGTTTCCTGATGCGAGCTTTAGGTGCAAAGTTGAGATAAAAAGCGCGACTCATCTTATCGGCTGGGTCATGTCTGCATAAGGCAGTTCATTCTCCTTGTACCTATCAATGGACGTCATTCCTATATCGTCGCCGTCTTGACGTTTATAAACACAACATTGAAATTATTATGGCCGTAATTTTAACAAACACCATTCCCGACAACGGGATACATAAGGTATATATATCTGTTTTATGTTTGCTTAATTTGCATTTTTGTACAGAATACTTTCAGTATTGTCTATCATAAAATATTTGTAACCAGTTATACCTGTTTTATATATATAATCTTCGGAATATGATCAAGTTCCCGAATTAATTCAGTATTATTTATTTATATATAATTCAGCGATTTCGACCTGTTAACAGCAAATGGTAGCATCGTTTGTTGACTTGAAGGATGTTAGAAGTTTCATTAAACATTATATACGATAAAAATGTTCTGCGGGCCGAATTCGGCTGGCGTGCCAGGGTTTGGACCACCCTGATCTAAATGAGAAAATAACTAGGGTGGTAGTTGAGAACGTAGAACAAATCCATCATAAAAACAAAAGTTTCAGTGGTTCTCACCTTTTTTCAGTTTTCAAAAATCATCTAGACCAGTGGTTCTCAAACTTTTTTAGTCCCATAGCCGCATTTCAAATCTCAAAGGTATGAAGAGCTGCACACAAACAACGCAAGGTAAAATAGCAACAAACCTTAAGCGCGTAGTTAAAATATCAAGTCATCGTAACAACAACACGTAACAACTAGAGCTGGGCCAAATATTCGAATAATAAAATATTCGAATGGCATTTTGCTATTTGAATATCTGGTATTACGTGACCTGCGCCGCTCTGCTTGGACACCGAACTCGAGCGTCTCCAACTAAATCGTGAATTGTGCGAGATTTCCCAATGGCGCTCGCTATGAGAAAAATTTGAAAAGTTGTCTTTGCGTTATGGTGTTATATGCTTATTTTTGCACTTATGGTATCCTTTCAATTCATCGTTTTGCAAAAAAAAAACGTACCGACCGTTCCGTAAATTTAGAAACGTCAAACCAGATTAGATATTTAAAATAAATTTCCCAGATTTAAACTCGGCATGCTTGGTGACATGTCATTAGCCATTTCTTGCATTACCGAACATAAAGTTGCTTAAAATTAAATGTTAAAATGACATTTCGGCGTTTCATTGTGAAAAAGGCGATTTTAGGTCGTTAAAACACTCTAGTTATGTAAATAGCATGGATTTAAAAAATGACCAAAAGTTTTTCCAAAAGCTGGTATGAGTTACTTGTATGGGAAAAATTCATTAAGTTGTAACCAGATAAGAAATGTCATGCCCTACTCCCTTTGAAGCACTTTGTATTAGCTCTTTAGTGATCCCTTCCATCTTTTGCCAAGTAATTTTTCGAATATGTAAACATTTTACTCGACCATGCATGGCCGTCGAGCCAAGTTGAGCCCAGAGTAGAACGTAAAGTCAATCGTGAATTTCGTTGTAACAATGCACACTGACTCGTTCACAAATTGTTGCGTCTATTATCATCGAAAATGATTACAATTGTTAAATTTTGAAGCATTTGGGCAGTAATAATTAAGCCATAAGGCATGATATAATCAAAATCATCAAGTAAAGTGCTGAATTTGCAAATTCCGTAAAGAAAATTGAGCATTACTGAGTGAGTATTTTAGCTATAATAACCATCGGGGTGTTGTTTTGTTAAAAAAAAAAACGTTAAAACTTGAAGTAATCAGGTACAATTAGAGTCTGACACTCTATTAGGCACAAAGGCCTAAAAACGCCTTTATCGACAATTTATTTAATCGCTATTTTAAATCAACTTTCAGGATTCACGCATTCGTAAATTTGCTAGGTTTATCTATCTAATACTAAAATAACACCATAGAAAAGCATGAGGAACTCAATTATCATTATAATAAATATCTGCATCTCGGTTACCGTTCACTTAAAACAGGCGCGGTTAATTTACAAGAGGTGATAAGGAAGATCAAATCCAAGGCAGAGGATAAAACTCAGAATAGAATTAATTTGGTTTTGAAATCAGTCCTTAAATGTATTCAACAGTTGTCGCTGATGAGAACGCAAGGGTATACTAGAAATATGGAATTTCGATATTCGGCGACCGCTTATTCTTGCAAAAACGAGAAAGGGCGGAAATATAGAATACCAACTTTAGGATATCGCCGCCAAAACGATCGCGGTGACAAAGACGATCAGCCATTATGATAAAATTAACCATTAAAAAACGCTTTATTGCCGGCTTTTCAATGTTTCTATTAATTTCCAAATGGACTATCGGCCTCCGACGTTTTGGGTCCCTGTTATGTATAAAAAAAAATATTCAAATTATTCGATTCAAATAAACACGGGGGAATCCATTTGACTAACTAATAGACTTTAGCATTTTAATTTCGAGTCAATGATTAGTTTTCAATGAAAAATTTTCTTTAAAAATAATTAATTTTTAAAACATTAACGGGAGCCGCAGGGATCTGATCTAGACTATAAACTACTGTAGGCGACGATGGTACAAAAAGTTTGGGAACCACTGAGCTAGATGACGTAGCCTTCTCTTTTTTAGGACTGAACTACATGGATAATAATATTACCTGTTACGCTCATAATACTAGTCTTTGATCACCCCATTGAAATCGAATCCACATAACTTAACATTGCTAAACTATATATACAAAAGCACATCCTGCTCTGGTTGTGACAGTGGGCGTTAGAAATATACAATGATTCTTAGCGCGGCTTTTGTCAAAATTTACCTATTCCATATCACTGACAGAACTTCTTTGAGATTTGGTGAAAATGTTTTTGCTGCTGAGACATGCCTGTGCGGTATGTAACGAGTAACAATTACACTAGGAGATGCATTTTTGACAAAAGTGACAAACCAGTGTTTGTTTCAGAACAAAGGCGGAGTTCCGGATGTGCGAACCGAGTGGGATTTTCCCTGCACTTTCCCTGCAATTCACTTAACATTCTAAACCTATCTGCTGACCTTTGCAGTTTCCTTTCATTCAGTGCTTTCATTAGTGCTTTCATAAAGCTACATGTTAAATTCAAAAGGGAAAGATTCATTGATGATTTTTTTGTTTTTTTGTGTATATCTCGGAAATCTCATCGATTCGCGATTTTCAATTGCGTTATTTGATATACTTTGG